TTGTGTGAATCCAATCAACTGAATATTTTTAGTTACAAACTCTCTCTCTAAGATTCAAAGTTTTTATTAGCATTTATTTTTTATTTGCATTTATTGGATTAAAAACATAGCTTTTTATAGAGCTTTTATGATTAAAGTGTTTTATAGAACATTTTATGTGTTGTTCAATATATAAACCGTTAAAATATCTCTATTTTATAAGTATTTTGTACAATTTTTTTAAAGATTTTATAAGTCTTTTTTACAGACTTTTTTTGATAAAATATTGGCAAACAAACTTTTATAAGCATTATGTACAACTTTTATAAGGATTTTATAATAATTTTATATGGATTTGATAAAGATTTGATAAGGATTTTTTTACAGACTTTTTGCCGAAATTAGGAATTTCTATAAAGATTTTATAAGTCTTTTTTACAGACATTTTTGGATAAAATATATGCAAACAAACTTTTATAAGCATCATGTTCAACTTTTATAAGGATTTTATAAGTATTTGATAAAGATTTGATAAGAATTTTATACGGATTTGATAAGGATTTTTTTACAGACTTTTTGCCGAGATTAGGAATTTCTATAAAAATTTTATAAGTCTTTTTTAGAGATATTTTTGGATAAAATATATGCAAACAAACTTTTATAAGCATTATGTACAACTTTTATAAGTATTTGATAAGGATTTGATAAGGATTTTATACGGATTTGATAAGGATTTGCTACAGATTTTTTGCCGAAATTAGAAATTTCTATAAACAAAAATATTTATCGTGCATCATACGTTTATGCAGTCTTCGCATCTTGATTGTATCAACAAAAAAACAAAAAGATTTTTTACAGACTTTTTTAAAGAAAATAATTTTTATCGTGCATCATAAGTTTGAGATAAATGAAAAACTAGGTAGACCGACCAGACCGACGAGGTCTTACATTCRTTGAGCTTRCAYCTTCATCCCTTGGGCGGGTTCTTACGTTCRTTGYGCATCCAGATTCATCTCAGCACCAGTAATAAACGTATAAAACTGAACAACATCAG